CCATATTTTTCCCGGAGTCACCAATCCATCAGTCATTGTCTCATCGTTCGCTGTTCAGTGGAAGACAGAAAACTATCAGAAGTATTATCGTGATTTATTGTTATAACATTTATTCCTAGACCTAGTGCAATAACCTTATTGTTGGTTACACATTGGCGTAAGAATAGAGGATTTTCGCGTTGGTTATTACAAATTGTTTCTGAAAGTCTTCCAGGGACAGCGTGAGGTCCAGCGTAGTAAGAGCTGGACATTGACAGTTTCTGAGAGTTTGCTGATATTCGATTTGCTGCCACAGCTACCTGTTACCAATTACTTCTAGCCAACCATTTGATCTTAAGTATAGAGACAGTTAAGGTGGAAGTTGTTGACAAAAGTCTGTACCTTGGTGGAATTCCCTTTCGTGACGCCTGAGCCAGGTTCCTGACCAGCGTAGAAGAAATGACTGAATGACTAACCTCACATTTATGTTGAGAATCTGAACCTCGCTCTTTATGACAGGGCTGAGTGCGGAAGATTTACAAACTGGTTGCAGGTTGATGAAGGTGTATCTCGCCCCTCCAATTCCGGCTTCCTTTGACGTATTCATCTGTTCCGACTGACTACAGTTGAAACGACGCTCCCTAGATAACTGAACAAAGTGATCTATTTCAACATTCTCCCGCTGGTCAGGATTGGTACTGTTCCTCGTTGCCGTTGGCGGTGGTTGGTTATCTTCATCTCCTCCTTCTCTGTGTTCACCTGGGATACTGTCTTCGCTGATGGCCTCTTCAGTCAGTTTGTCGGCTTTCGCCTGCAAGTGTCATAGTTCGGTTGACACTGAACATAAATAATCCACGAGCGAAATCCAGATCTTCTAGAGATTTCTCGTCAGTCAGTGCGGCGTATTCCTGTTTTCTCACTCCCAACTCACAGACTGACGCATAATCCAGTCCACCAAAATTAAGAATATCATCGTAGGTGATAATAGGAAGGCGGTCTTGTCTTACTCCTGTATCCACCTCAAACGCCCCACTGAGTGTTCCGATGTGGATACTTGGCACGTGGCATCGTCACATAGCTGTGATTGAATGACGTTGATGAATATATGGTTAGTGCACGCCGCAGTGTTGAAGCAGTCGACAAATTACTTCTCAGTCAACGCTGTTTATCGAAGGCCCTTTTGAAGTTGATGAAGTTGAGGTAGAGGTTTGACTGCCATTCTACGCTTTGTTCGATGATGATGCGAAGAGTTGCTTTTTGGTCAGCATATGACTCGTGTTTCCTGAATCCAGCTTGTCTCAGCGGGCGGTGGATTTCTTTATCCAGTGCATCCTTTAATCCCTCCAGGATTACGGGACTTAGTATATCACTTGGCGTGGGTGGATCAGAGCATTATTCCACGTCAGTTCTTGCACAACCCGGGTCGCCCTTCGTTGATGGCTTGACAAGGTAACTAGCCTATCTTCCAATCAGTAGGCACCTTCCCTTCCTTCCAGACCTTTTGCAATAGTGTCATGAGAACATGTGTGACAGTCTCCGGGTCCGTTTTCAGGTCTTTAGGGTGGGGGAAATTCCGTCTGGTCCTGGTTTAAACCTGGAACTAACTAGTATCCTGTCCGGGATGATGGGACCTAGTATATTACTTGGAGAAGACAAGATTTCGTGCCAGTTCTTACAGAGGCCCAGGTCACCATGCTTTAATCGCTCGAGAAGGTAGTTGGCATTTCTTCCACTCATTAGGCAACCTTTTGAGATAACGGCCTGAGAACATTAAACTCAGTAGTGGGGTCCGTTTTTAGTGAACTTCAGGAATTACATCTGCCTTTTCTACCTTCCCGACCAACGCTCAGTAGCTTGTTCGCATTTGGGATTTCAGCCTTCGCTGGAGGATCGCCTACCACTATAAGGCAGTTCCGCGCGTGCTGTTGTTGGTAAATATGTCAAGTCGCAGATGACGGTCGATTCGAGAGTCTTGTAAAGTGACTAGCCTATTGCTTCATTTGTTTCTCCTCCCTGGAAACCAGATTCCCTTGAACATCGTTTGTTGTCTTCATCACCAAAGTTGATCTCTTCCCCGATAGCGAGCAGCCTGGCTATCTGCTATACTGTTCCGATGTCTCTTTTGCCTGCGGCCTGTTCTACTTCAGTTGCCAGCGTATCGTAGAATTTCTCTTTTCTGGCTCTATTCTTCACTTTTTCTTCAGTGCAGTGTACACTGAACTCAGTTTTTCCTTATTTTTCAGTCTTTGCATCGGGTCATCTTCTCTTTCACCATCTTCATCTCTTCTGTTAACCCTCGGGTATCCTTTGAGGGCCGTTCTTTGTCGCGTCTCTTCTTTCTTCAGATTTATTGGTTGAGGATAGAAGGCATGAAGTGAATGTCAATCCTTTTCTAGTAGATTTCTGGGGTTGTCCAAACCCTTCTTGAACGAATCAGTTGAGGTTGCAGGCAACACTTCTTCTGGGAGTCGGTTCCAAGAGTTTATGACTCGATGTGAGAACCAGTACTCGACAGCAATATGATTTCTCCTTGGCTTTTGAACTCTCCTGCTATGTCCTCTAAGGTGTTCCAACCATCTGGTAGGAAGGTAAAGAGAGAATAGGTCAGGTCCGTAGTCATTATTTAAAATTTTAAACATTGTGATTAAATATCCTCTATGCGTACTGTATGACAGGGAGAAGAGATTTAAACTGTCTAATCTTTCCTCGTATGATAAGTTAGCTATGCCGTGAACCATACGCGTTGCTTTCCTTTGAACACTTTCTAGAATGTGTGAATCCCCTTTTAGACAAGGACTGGCGGCCTGGATGCGGTTTTTCAGTCTTGACCTCACCAGAGATGTATATAAGGAGGTGAACATATCTCTGGTAATTCTTGTAAAGGCTCTACGAATCGCCCATAAGGACCTGAAACTACGTGCAGCCACCGCGCGACAGTGTGCTGTAGTTTTTAAGCCGTGGCTAACTATGACACCTAAGTCCAAGTGAGTCTGAACTGATGGAAGTGTTATTCCCTCTAATTCGTAGGAGCTTGTGCTTGGTTGTCCAATGCGCATGGTTGCACATTTTGCCACATTGATCGGGAGCATCCATTCAACGGACCACTCTGACAATTTGTTGAGGTCCTTTTGCAACGTGAACGTATCACTGTTGCTCTTCAGCTCTCTCCGAATTTTTAAGTCATCTGTGTATAGGACCATAGGGGAGTCGGTGAGCAGGAGTAACACATTGATATACAGAATAAAAAGGAGAGGACCGAGAACCGTGCCTTGTGGCACTCCGCTACGTACTGCTGTCCAGGAGGAGAGTTTTGAGTTGATCCCAACCCTCTGCCTCCTATCTATGAGGAATTCATTGAACCAGTTTAGTAATCTGGCGTTGATACCAAGACTTTCCAACTTCATGAGTAGTCTTTTGGAAGGTACTCTATCAAAGGCTTCCCTGGAGTCAATGAATATGACGCCAGAGGGTCTTCTGTTGTCCCTTGATTTGACCCAGATTTCTCTTGCAGTGCGGAGATTTGACAGGCATGAGAGTTTTCTTCGGAAGCAGTGCTGTGCTCTGAATAATATTTTGTTGTTTTCCAGATATGCCATGATACTTTTCTTGATGATTCTTTCCAGTGTCTTGATTAAAGTCCTGATGAGACTGATAGGCCTGTAATTTCAAGGGCTTTGTCTTGATCCTCCTTTGTGGATGGGGGTTACTATCGCGTCTTTCCAGTCACGCGGTAACACTCTATTTAGGGAAGGGAGCCTGAAGATCGTGGCCAAAGGGTTGGTTATGTTAGTTGGCCCTTCTTCCTAGAACATTTGCATACGTTTCCTTGAACATCACCTTCAAAGAATTAGTTCCAGTATTCTTCTACGCAGGGTTCGTCAATGATATCATGTGGCGTATCTGACTGTGCTCTGATCTAATCAGTAGTGAAGGCATCCCTTGCAGTTTTGTCCTACAGTTTCTGAATGTTGTGGTCTGTCTCCATTTGTTTTCATGAATTTCAGCCTCACCTTGATGGCTATTTGAACTAGATGATGGTCTATGCCTACATCTCCTCCTGTCCTTGACTTCATGTGCATTATGGGCTGCGTTTCTTTTTCCTTGAGCAACATTCAGATTAGGTCTATCTGGTTTATGGTGTTTCCGTCAGGTGAAATCCATGTTACTTTGTGTATATCCTTGTGTTTTTACACGCTCCCTCCGATAACCAAATCATTGAAAGCACAGAAGTCTGTGAAGAGTTCTCCGTTCTCATTCATTTTTCCGAGATCCTCTCAATCAATGATGAGTTCTCTTCCTTCATTATCTGCTCCCAGTTTGGCTGGCATTCACATCGACTATAAGAATTTTGATGAGAGAGCTTAGGGTGTTGTCCATTACTGTTTTCAGTTTTCTATAAGAATTTTCTCTCTTCTCTTGTTCCACGGTGTTTGCAGCACTATGCGTAGCAGTGGATAATTATAACGTCCCTTCCTTTTGATTTGAATCTTGCTGTCATGATCCTGGATGAAATTAGTTCCCACACCATAAGGGCTTTGGCTGCCAGTGGTGAGATCATCATACCCACTCACTGCCTCTGTTTGTTCGTGGTTGTCGTCTGGGTGACCTAAGTAGATTACTGACTCTCCACTTGACAATTTCGACAAACCACATGCATTCCATCTGCTCTCTCAGATACCCAACAATTTACCATATCTTCACATTTCTTTGGCTACATGGACAGCCTTCCCAGTATCGTACATTGTACTGGCATTCCACATACCCATTCTTACCCTTGAATTCATCGAGAGAAGACAGATCGGCTGCCTGGCTTTCCGAGGGCTCTCACCAGCCAGTGTCATTCAGACTGACAGATTCCAGGCAAGAATAAGTTTGTCTCTTGAATTCTTCGTATTTTCAATATATTTCTCGTGCGTTGAAGTTTCTCTAAAAGTTTGATAGCTTTAGGGTATAGGATCTCCACTCTTACGTCCAAGCCTTCCTCTTTGCCCGAGCCTAGGACTGACCAGAAAATAGGACATCTCAAACGCGCCAATTATTATTAATTGTGTTACATTCATGCCTGTCAAGGTACCTAAACCGATTGCCAGATATCTCAGCGAGCAGGTGGCTTATCGAATAAAAATTCTAGAAGCGGCTTTAATTGAGATTCATGATCTTGACAATCGAATGAAAATGGAATTACTATCATTGAATTCTTTGGCAGAGTCGCATGGTACCGAAATCGATGAGGTTCAAATGATACATCAATCTTTAAACAACGTGAGTTACTTAATCACAGTGTTTAGTTGTATTTGATCGTATAAAAATACCTTTTTGATTCGGGATCTTGTTTGCTATGTAATTTTACTTCGTGAGAGCAAATGCATCGACCCATGGGTCCAGTTGTTGAGCTGACCAGAGTTATCCCAATTTTACTTAGGGATTGCATTTTGTGCAACCATGCTGTCATAACCAGCAGATCAGTTTGGATAATTCCGAGATATTCGTATACGTATACTAATTTTCTGAGTTTGAATTCATGAACATTTTGTTGAGAGACTCGGAAAATTTGTTTCTTGCTACACGCTTTCTGAAAGAAAACTATTTAAGCCATTATTTACTACTCAGAATGACCTAAGATTCCGCAACATTTCCAGTGAGTAGTTTCTTTACCAGTCTAGATTGCTCTACTTCGTCGAATTCAACGAATTTTCAGAAAAGAAGATCGCGAGACAAAAAATCCACACTGACCTCAGGGAGGTACTATAAATATCTTATCGCCTGAAAAAAAATCAAAGCGTTGAAAGAATGATGGATGTGTTAAGTTCACGTCGGCTAATCTACCTCAACCCTCTGTGCGGTTGAAATAATTAATTTACTGACTAAAGTTGTTACCAAACATGTCTGAGAGCTGAAATCAGTGGTGACCCCCCTACAGTTTTCTTGTTTCCCCTGCTGTCGAGAGTAATATCAAGTACTAAATTCCCTTGTAAATATAATTATTAAGTACGCTGATCAGTTTTATTGTATCCCCAATTTTTCTGTTTTGTTGTGGTATTTATGGGTATGCTTCCTGATTCTTGTTTACTTTTAAGTGGTAGAGATAATAATAATGATAGTAACAAAAAGTTAATTATGGATAAATGTGATTCAGTGTTCCTATAACAGTATGATCAAAAGGCTTTCATGATAGTAAATGTTATTTATTCTGAAGAATTGATAGAAGTTAACTGTCTAAGCGTGCTACATAGTTGGGGTAGTACATGACGACTTTTTAGTGTCAAATGTGTCAGTTGAAATATCAGATTACAGTCCTTATTATTATTTGTTATTATTTCCTTTAATTCCTAGAGGAACATAGGGCTTCAGCCCCGCGTCTCCATTGCGTTCGGCTCTCTGCTAGAGTTTTTACCTGGCTCCAAGTCTGCCCACATTTTCATCTCCTCTTCACATGAACTCCTCCAAGTCACCCTCAGATTGACGACCAACTCGCCACTTCCCTTTCGGGTTTCACTCGAGTGATGGCTTGTCTAGTGATGTCACTTGATGGTTTCCTCTGACTGTGGCCAATCCACCTCCATTTCTTCTTGCATATTTCTTGTACAATCGGTTCCTAGTTGGTGTGCTGTCAGAGATCCCTGCTGCTGATCTTTTCTGGCTAGCCATCTGATCTTGAGTATTGAGCGAAGACAGCTGTTGATGAAAGTCTGTAGTTTGTTTGATGTGCTCTTTATGACGCGGCGCCAAGTAGTACTGACTTCACATTGGAGTTAAAAATCCGGATGTTATTTTTGATGGTGAGTGTTGTTGACCTTCACACAGACTTAAGAGTAATGAAAGCTTTTATTGCTTTCCCGTTGATCCTCGCTTTGATATCCGCTTCAGTTCCGTCCTCCTGTAGTTGAAACGATGCTCCCCAGGTAGGTAAAGGAGTCTGCTTCTTTCAGGTTTCTCCCACTTATGCTGGGTGATTGTTGTCTGTTGTTGGCCAGGAATCTTCATCACCTTTGTTTTCTTTACGTTCACCTGGAGTCCTATCTTCTCTGAATGCTTCTTCTGCTAACTTGTTGCTTTTCACTTGCATATCTTCCAGTTTGTGGCAAATCAGACACAAATATGTCATTGGCGAAGTCCAGATCCTCCAACTAACAGCTTGAACTCTCCATTGTTCATTACTGTCAGTGGCTCATCAATTCAAATAACCGAAATTCGAAACTAACCCATAAAGGAAGGATATATACAATGGTACTACGTTAGACAAGTATGTGTGAGAGAAAAAATAATTACACGATTTATAAAGATATCCAGAATTATGAAAGTAATAATGGGTGTTATTGCTAACGAATTTCTATCAAGTTACCAAAAATTTTAAACCATGGATTCCTAAAATCATTAGATAAGTTGTACTACTATCCACAGCTAAGATTGGATTTCTGAGCAATGCTTCGTAAATGTCATCCAGTTTAACTCTACTTCAGTTAAGAGATACTTCACTAAACGACTTGTTCTCTGTAGACAGCACTTTAAAACTGCTGTGTGCAATTCCACCTCATTACAGGCAATCGCATGCATTTGGAATACCTCACTGTGTAATCTTTTTCTTTCTTGATTTTAAAGTTGTTGTTTATTTTTTCTGACCTGTGTTATACTCTGTTGTTGTTTTTTTACCGGCATATCTTGATACTTATGTGCATGCCCAATGATAAATATTTATGCAATAACTAGTTATTCTTACGAAGTTTTACTTTCGTCTTTAGGAAGAATTATTGAACCTTTCCAGGCATATAAATAATGATGACAATGATGAAGAATATGAAGTGGTGAATTTAAATGAAATTGATGATTATGAAGCATCAATTAATATAATAGACAAGGAAATTAAATCTAATAATTTTAGTTCTTCATCCCTTCGTACGTCAAGCACGCAAAATGCTACACTGGATAATAATAATAATGGCAACCACTCTAATGGTCAAAAATTCAATTATCTCCCCGATCTTATCAATGATCATCTATTGAATTCTATCCCAAAACAGCATAGAATCATGCCTTTTTTACCAGTGGATATAGATAATTCTTGATATAACTTGTCTTTGTATATACATCGTTTGTCGGGAGCATTTTTACTCTATTAATCTATTTTATATCATGAGTTGTATATTTAATTTCAGCTTAATTTCCCAAACCCCTTAAAACACATTTATGTACATAAATTTATACATATATATATTCGATCGTTGAGTACGCATTCATTTTGTTATCACTGTGGTGTGTTATGTGCGTGTGTATGTGTGTGTAATTTGTAGGCATAACGTTTAATGGATATAAGAGTTGAAAAGTTGTTTAATGTATTGTGTCGGTTGATTTTTGAAATTATCAGTTGACTACATATGACACATATTGATGTATTCTTATAATGTTGATTTGTCATCTCAATTTCCAGTGAAAATCATTCATTTAAGATGAGTAGTATAAAAGTGATGCTAGTTAGTCCCAGGTTTAAACCAGGACCAGACGGAATTTCCCCCACCCTAAAGACCTGAAAACGGACCCGGAGACTGTCACACATGTTCTCATGACACTATTGCAAAAGGTCTGGAAGGAAGGGAAGGTGCCTACTGATTGGAAGATAGGCTAGTTACCTTGTCAAGCCATCAACGAAGGGCGACCCAGGTTGTGCAAGAACTGACGTGGAATAATGCTCTGATCCACCCACGCCAAGTGATATACTAAGTCCCGTTATCCTGGAGAGGATGAAGGATGCACTGGGCACGGAACTCCACCGAGACAGGCTGGATTCAGGAAAAGCGAATCATGTGCTCGTCAAAAAGCAGCTGTACGCATTGTCATCGAACAAAGCGTAGAATGGCAGTCAAACCTCTACCTCAACTTCATCGATCTCGGAAAGGCCTTCGGTAGACAGCGTCGACTAAGAAGTAATTTGGATTTAACATAGAACTTGGCACCGAAGTGCACCAGTTCGAGTTGCCACGTTCCAAATAGCACACAGAGGTAGACAAGAAGATGAGTGAAGAGAATCAGTAGAGTTTGACAGGTATAAGAGCGAAACAGAATGGGTAATGGTAGAAAGAAATATGAAAGATTACAGAGACTGAATACATCTGCGCCATTGACAACGATTTTGAGCCATGTCACCTATTGTCTCCAGCCATTGATTCTTAGAGTCCCGAGGGCCTCAATCCGGAAGTCTGCATCTCCATACCTGACTCAGCTTAACTGTTAAGGATTTCATGGATTAATGCCATGTTTTTGTTTGGCCACCACTTACTCTTTTCCAACCTGAACCTATATCAGCTAGTAATGCCCGTCGGGAGAGGCGATGGTTAGGCATGCGCACCACGTGACCTAGCCATCTCAATCTATGTAACTTTATAGCCTCATCGATTAATTTTCCCTCCTTGCCCAACACTACACCTAACGTCAACATTACTTGCCTTATTAAACCACCTAACGTGAGAAAGAGGTCGCAGACATCTATGATAAAAAACAGTCAACCTTTTCATGTCTTCAACTCGTATTGGCCATGTTTCAGAGCCATAGAGAAGGACGGAGCGAACTGCTGAGAAGTAATTTGGCGACCGCTTCAACACTACGATGTGCAGTACCCAGATCTTTATCAACCTCATTCAATCACAGCTATGTGACGATGCCACGTGTCAAGTGATCCATAACGGAACACTTAGTGGGGCGTTTGAGGTGAATACAGGAGTAAAACAAAACTGACTGCCTATTATAAAGGATGATATTCTTAATTATATATATTCTTGATTGTGACGGACTAGATTATGCGTCAGGCTGTGGGTTGGGAGTGAGAAGACAGGAATATGCTGCACTGATTGACAAGAAGACTCCAGAAGATCTGGATTTCACGCGTGGATGATTTATGTTTAGTGTCACACGAACTCGGAGACTTGCAGGCGAAAGCCGACAAACTGACTGAAGAGGCCATCAGCGAAGACAGTATCCCAGGTGAACACAGAGAAGATGGAGATGATGAAGGTACCCAACCAACAGCAACGGGAAACAGTACCCATCCTGATCAACGGGAGAAACTCGGAAGAGATTACTTCGTTCAGTTATCTAGGAAGCATCGTTGCAACTGCAGGCAGTCGGGACAGATGAATACGTCAAAGGAAGCCAGAATCGGAGGGGCAAGATACGCCTTCATCAACCTGCAAGCAGTTTGGAAATCTTCTGCACTCAGCCCTGTCATAAAGAGCGAGGTTCAGATTTTCAACATAAATATGAAGTTAGTCATTCAGTCATTTCTTCTACACGGGTCAGGAACCTGGCTCAGTTATCACGAAAAGGAATTCTACCAAGTTAGAGACTTTTGCCAACAGCTGCCACCTTAACTGCATCCATACTGGAGATCAAATAGTTGGCCAGAAGGTATTGGTAACAGGTAACTGTGGCAGCAAACCGACTAAGAGGCTGTTGCTCAACAAGTATGTAGGGGGGGATGGATATGGATCGAGAGTGCGTTGAAGAGCCGGTCGAATGTCACCGTACCCAGTAGAGTCCATAGCTCGAGTGTATTTCCAATTGGGAGCGTCGTGTGGGTAGCCAGTGCGAAGGTGACATGGCAGAGGTCGTGTGAGGAGGAGATGAGAGATTATGGGTAGGCGTTGATGAAGCTGAAGAGGACAGCACCAAACGGAACAAAGTGGAGTTTATGATATTAAATGGTTAGAAGCAATCGGCAAGAGGCCTTGCTTGACCTAGATTTCGTACAAGTTGCCTTTTGCCAGCAAGCAATATCTGAAAAGTTGAAGGAACTCATTTTTCTTCTGAGATTCGAACCCGCGGGCCCGAATAGCTAGCTCAGGAGTAACATCTCTGACTGCAGTATTGGGTGACGCGGTACCGAATCTCAGAATGGACGTGGGTATTTTCAAGGTCGCAGATACGCCTTGCTGACGAGTGGGACCTAGATCAAGTAAGGCTCCCTACTGATTGCCTCCAACCTTCTAATGTCAACAATTCAAGTTACACCGTGATGGTGAGCCACCTAGAGTGGTGACCACATTGCAAACTTGACTGATAGGATTCACTTTGCACCAAACACAGGACTAGACACATCACACTAGTTACTAGTGTCCAATCAAAACATCAAATACCTTCCTACAGGATGTCAATCGTGAGCCCGAATAGCTCCTCAGTGGTAACGTCTCTAACTGCAGCACTGGGTGAGTAGGTGACGCTGATTCAAATCTCAGAATGGACATCAGTTTGTTCTAATTTGGAGATACGCCTTGCTGACAACTGGTGGGTGCCAACTATAGCACGAAACCTAGGTCGAGCAAGACTTCTTGTCGAATGCCTCTAACCATTTCATATCAGCTATTAGAGTTATGGTTTCTTGGTATAAATATTTGAGTTTCAATTAGGTGACAACAGATTGGAATATTGCTTCTTTTTTATTCCCTCACGTTCCCAGTGACACATCGGGGGCTTCAAGCTTGAGGTTTGAAGTTTCTGTAGCAGTGTTTATTTTTTTACAGGATGGAGTTGCTAGCCTCATGCCCAAGCTTTCCTCTTTACCAGCCTTTTTATTACTGGCCTAGTAAGGTCTGGGAATGCGTTTGTGGCTGAAGATCGAACCTCGGACCATGTGCATGGTTGGTGAGCGTCCTAACCTCTGTGCCACTGATGCACAACATATTGTTTTACTGTTTAATAAACTCGTGTAAACTGAATATTGTTTATAAACGTTCTTATATGGGAAAATCTTTGGTAGATAAGTAAGTTTGATCACTTTTCTTGTTATTCTACATAGTGAAGACTAACGTCATTGCAGATATGATTTATTAGCTTCAGTGCGCAACATTCAACCAATAGGTTGTGGATTTGAGTCCTGCTCCACACACTTCTGTCTGAGCAGCTGGTTAGTATCATTCGCCATCACATGAGTGTGGCGTCCAAATTCATGGTATCGAAAAGATTTGTTCTGTCTCTAACTAATTCCAAGATAAATGTTCAGTGTAGAATGGAAATCTATTGAAATAAAGAAAAGCAGTTTATCAAACTCAGCATATATTATTAATAAGGTGACCAATCAATTTAAAAATAAATCCATATTATAATTGTGAGCAAACGACTAAATTCAGCTACTTTAACGTCTTGGCTAAGTTTTACAAATGGAAATGATGTCTTTGGTAGCAATGAATCTGTTGTCTGCTCAGAATAGCCGAAAACACAACCTGGTGTACACCGCACACATACACACACAGTAGCTAACTACATAATTCTATCTATCACCTCAAAAGTGACATGGGAAATATCTTTAAAATTTAGTTGTTTGTTCTCCTTCTTGACTGAGGGTTTTCACCATAGGACTTTGCACAGATGTGCAGCAGTTCGGGTTGCCCCAGTCCCTCTGTGTAGCACACAAACCAAGAGAAGAGGGTAGAGACATTCATCGGCAGAGAGATAATAAACAGAAGTGTGAGTGACGGGAAAAGAATAGTAGTAATATGGAAGGACAATAGAGTTTTTTGGTATATGACAATCAATCAATCTGCGCTATTGAGAACGATTATTTTTAGTCACATCACCAATTGTCTCTAGCCTTCATTGGTTCTTGCCATCCCGAGGAGCCCAACCAGACAGCCGACCAGTCTACACCTCCCTACGCGGCTGGCTCAAACTAACTTTAATGGATTTCATTGACTGGTGAAGGCATGTTTTTTCTTTGACCACCATTAGCCCTTTTCCACCCTGACTCCATGTCAGATAACATCGCTCGTTGTCGAGGAAGGCGATGTTTAGTCATGCATGCGTAACACATGTCCTAAACATCTCCATCAGTGTAACTCCACAACTTCGTCGATTGATTTTTTTCCCTGCTAACCTAGCACTCAACTAAGGCCTAACCGCAATATTGCTGGCCTGTCAAAGTTAAACTATCATAGCCAAAAGCACAATGACCTTGGGCAACCGACCAGAATTCAGGCGCAAAAAAGTCACATAATCGTTGGAAAATGCACTAAAAATATTTGCAAACTTGATATTACACTGTATAGTGGTAGCTTATTTTTTGTGAGAGTGTCTCCCAGTCAATACACATCGATGATCTATACAGAAATCGTACCATGCGCGATATACCCATCCTTCCAGGTGACTGTAAGTCATGGTACCTTGAGATCCATTGATATTTCTGACATTATTCTACAATCTACTCCTAACTCTAAATATAATCCTGACTTAAGCCCTAAACCCAACACCATAACCCTAACTTACAGTATAGGTTTGCAGAAAAAGCATATAGTAAATAAAGTAAAGAAAAATACTGTATCTATTGTCTCCAAGTTCAAAAAGGGCAGGCATAATTTGTTTCGGAATGATATTTCATAGCATTCCATGTGTCTGGTTGGTTCTTAAAGGTCAACTTTTGAAAGACCTCGGTTTTGGCTATGATAGTTTAATTTCGCTTGCTCACCCTATTATACCACCTCACACAGAAGATAGAACTCAGGCACCTAGGATCAAATAATTCATCAGATTGTTGAAATTTTTATACGATTAGTTCCGTTATTTATCATATGGATGTATATATATTTTCGAGTTTTGATTTTGTAGGGATTTTGTTTGATTGGATGAAAGATTCCGTCATGAGCGCTGATATCAGTTAGAGAACCATTGGAAAAACTGAGAGTACGAGACGACTGTTTCGTCCTAGTTTGGGACTCTTCGTCGGCACGCACTCGCCGGGGTTCGAACTCAGGACCTTCTGATTACAAGGCGAATTGGTTTACGAGCTTGCCTTGCGGACTGATAGACAGTCCCAAACTAGGACGAGGGAAACAGCTGTCCCGTACTCCCAGGTTTTCCAGTGGTTCTCCAACTGATGTCAGCTCATGATGAAGTCCTCCATCCAATATATATATATATATATATATTGCTTTATCTTTCATTACAAAATATATTTGTTGTATCATTTTACTTTCAGTATACATCACAGACTTCATTGTTATCCCCTAAAAGGCTGAGAATATCTGGAGAAATTTCACCTGATAGAGAATTGAAATATCGTAAATTCAGAAATCAAAGTCCACCATGTAATGCTGACTATTATTATCATTGTTCTTCAGATGATATTTCATTAACTGATACCCGTAGTCTTCAAGCTGCTTCCACTTCTCCCTCGTCTCCTTCTTCTTGTTCGTCAAGTAATGAAGAAATTTATACAAAGACTGGATATGTTGAAAGTTATGTACACAGTGAACGTAGTGGTTCACCATCTCTTGTACGATTTACAGAAAATGTGTACATACGTGAAGAAGACGATGATGGTGATGATGATGATATTAGATCGCCTAATGAATCCCGATCGACAATAAAAACATCAGGTCATTATATTTCCTATTTGTCAGAGATATTTGAAACTGTTCAAAAGTATAAATTAATTCTGACAATCTCTGTTTTAATATTGATTTCATTTTATACACTATGTAAGTATTATGGTAAGTTATAAGCCTTGCTAAATTATTAATCTTTGCGTTTATTTATGAGATATTATTACTATTATTTTGAGTTATTTATTATTGTTGTTTGCTGATGAATTATTATCCCCTTTTTTGTCTATACTAATTATTATTATTATTCTTGTTCCCTTGGGTTCCTAGTAGAACATAGGGCTTCAACTGCACGTCTCCACTTGCTTCTGTCTTCATTCTGCTGTACTTCTCACCTGCATCCATGCTAGTCCATACTCTTCACACGACCTCCTCCATGTCACCCACCCTTGCACTGACGACCAACTCGCCGCTTGCTTCCCTTTCGGGTTCCACTCGACCAATGGCCTGACGCGCGCCATGTCACCCAGCGAGATGCCTCCTCATCAGCGAGTGTCCAATCCATCCCCACTTTCTTCTGCATATTTGTTGGTTAGCGATTGGTTCTTGTTTTGTTTTGTTTGTTCGCATAGTTTCTTGTTGGTGATTCTTTCCGGTCCGGCCATCTGATCTTCATTCAGTATAGAGCCAGCGAAGACAGTTAGTTGTTGATAAAGGTCTGTAACAGGCTGTTGGAAATATTCTTTGTGACCCGCCCGCCAAGTTTCTAATCCGATCCGTATATAAGAACTGACTGACTTGACGTTGTTTGTATTGAAAATCCGACGGAATTTTGTTGTTGATGCTGACTGAGTGACGGAGATTTCCAGATTGGTTTCAGGGTTGATGAGTGAATGTGTTTCTCGCCTTCCCGATTCTCGCTTGATTTGACATCCTCGCGTAGTTGAGACAATGCTCCCTAGATAAGTGAATGAATGAATGAAGTAACCTCTTTCAAATCCCAGGCGTTGATGGTGATTGGCGCTGGATGTTGCTGCTGTTGTTGTTTTTGTTGGTTGGTTATTTTCATACTATATTACACTAAACGTAGGAGTAACCATTACCATAATAGGATTATATCGAGTGTCATCAAAACGTTTAATTTGTTACGATATTCCACCCTAGTCTATTTACTGTATGTCTCATGACTAAAAGTGATAATTATTCAAAATAACTCAGTGATTATTTAGTTTGTGGTAATGTGGTGGGTGGTGAGTAGCAGTGGAATCCAGGACAATGCGCGTTTCGTTTGATATGGGACTTGTCAACTGAACGTACGTGCAGCAGTTCGATTTGCCACACTCCCTCATTTCAGCACTCCAAGTAAAAGGAGAAAGTAGGGAAAGATTCAAAACAAAGATAATAAACGTAAATATGAGGCAACAAGAATAGTAATACGGATGAACTATAGTGCTTATGTGTAGCACCATCTTATTCAATCCTTGCAACTGCTTCGCAACTTCGTCGATTGATTTTCCCTTCTTGTTTACCTAGCACTTGACTGAGGCCTAAACTCATACTGCTCACCCTACTATACCACCTAACACGGGAGATAGAACACAGACACCTATGATCAAAGACAGCTAGTCTGCATTTTCTTGTCTCCCATTTTCGTCGGCCATTTCTCACTGACAGCCATAAGGCAGGACGGAGAGAACTGCTACTGTGGAGTACACACGTCCTTTGGCCGACAGCCAGTCGAATATGATTTCTACTAAGTCAGAGATGGTATAAGTTTGCATATGCCATACGAGTCTTCTGTATCTGTACTGAGATTTCGTCAGCGGCCAACGCTCTCAGCCACCACGACACTCCCTATTTCTAAGCTAGGAGTGAGTCAACGTAGTCCAGTCGTGTAGCCTCATCATCTTACATTTGACAACAGGAGCGAATCTCATGCCAAACATTCTTAGATTGCAGCTCAAGGTGTTCATAAAACTCTGCTTTATTTTGTCAGCGTTTGCACCTCCCCTAGTAGGGAGGACTATATCATCTGCATATTCTAAGTCAACAAGACTATTATTGCCTGCTGGTAACAAGTGAATCCCTTAGTTGCTGAAATCACTAATGGTTAAGTCCATTAGTATATCTATGATGAAAATGAACATAAATGGGGTCAATGAGCATCCCTGATGGACACCACCAGTTGTCATCACTTCAGATGACAACTCTTACGTGACTGGTTCCATGAGTTCGATTAAAGTGCCTTGATCAGTGCGATGTATTTTCTTGGCATTCCCTTTGCAGTCAAACACTGCCTTAGTGCCAATCGGTTGACGGAAAGAGAATGAAATATCAATAATAATAACAGTTAACTGGTAAAACATATTACCGTGGTAGATTCAAAGTGACCCCCATTCCCTTTTGTACATATATACCTGGTTAACAAAGTTTAATTGCATAAGCCTCCACGATTTGTCTGGTGGCAACAGTGAATGAACTGACACCGCGTCAATATCATGTCCGTAATCCACAAGATGCTTTTTTGTTACTGAAATTTTAGGCACTTCGACGTCATTTGTTTTCATCACCTTGGCAAATGCTCCATCATGTGAGCAGGAAATCGCCTTTTTGTACAACCTATGTATTTGCTTCCACATAAACACTCAAACTGATGTACACAGTTTGAAGCGTAGAGAATTGGTGACTGGTCTTTCCCAAATTGTTGAATCACTCGCTTGATGGTGTTAATAAGGAACACAAGCTTTAAAGCATTTTAAGTTCACCCCTAATGGCTTGGTTTGATTACCTCGTGTACATCATCTCCTTTGAATGCCAAATTGATGTAGACAGATTTCTTTGGAACTGTTTGGATCTGTCTGTCTGTCTGTTTTCGACATAGAACTTTGCACAAATGTGCGGAAGTTCAAGTCGCCACATTCCGTGTAGCACGCGAAGCAAGAGAAGAAAGTACAAGAAAAGCATAATAGAAACAGTGAGCAGAGGTGTGAGACAAAGGAGTAATAAAGAAATACAAAACAGTTTCATTGAAGATCATAAGTCACAAGGAGTGGATGCATCTGCGCCACTGAGAACGATTTTGAGCCATGTCACCAATTGTTTCCAACCATAGATTTTTACCGTCCCGAGGACCCCAGCCTGGAAGTCTACACCTTCCTACGTGGCTTAGACCAACTGTTGTGGATTTCATTGACTGATGCCAAGTTTTTGTTTGACCGCCGCTAGCTTTTTTCCAGCCTGACCCTATATCCGCTAACATTGCTCGTCGAGGGAGGCGATGGCTTGGCATACGTAACACATGTCCTAACCATCTCAGTCTTTGTAGCTTCACGACTTCGTCGATTGATTTCCCCTGTTTACCTAGAACTCTACGCCTAACCTCCATGTTGCTCACCTTATTATGCCACTTTACACGGGAAATAGAACGCAGGCACCTATGATCAAAGACAGCTAGTCTTTTCATGTCTTCCACTCTCAGTGGCCAGGTCTCACAACCATAAAGGAGGACGGAGCGGACTGATGAGCAGTACACCCGCCCTTTGGTCGATAGTCGAACATCTCGTCTACGCCAGAGTCGGCGTAAACTAACAAATGCGAAACGAGCCCCTTGTATTCGTGCTGAGATTTCGTCAGAGATCAGCCCGTTGGGGCTGATGGTACTTCCCAAATAAGTGAAGCGGTCAACGTGCTCTACCACTTCACTTCCTATTTTTAAACTAGGCGTCGATGTAGTCCAGTCCTGTAACATCATCTTGCATTTGGCGGGAGCGAATCGCATGCCAAACATTCGTAGATTGCGGCTCAAGGTGTTTAGAAGACTCTGCATTTCGTCAGCGTCTTCGCCTAGAAGGACTATATCGTCTGCATATTCCAAGTCAACGAGATTATTCCCCGGTAGCAAGTCAATCCCTGAGTCGCTGAAGTCACCTAGGGTTAAGTCCATTAACACATCTATGATGAAGTTGAATAGAAAAGGAGATAATGGGCATCCTTGACGGACACCACTGGTCGTCATCAGTTCAGATGACAGCTCGCCGTAAGCCCTCACCTGGCTGTATGAGTACGAGTAGAGTGCCTTAATCAGTGCAATATATTTTCTTGGAATTCCCTTTACAGCCAAGCATCTCCAGAGAACTTCCCGATCGACAGAGTCGAATGCTGCCTTTAGGTCAAGAAATATAATGACTGTTGGACGCCGGTAGGAATGCCTATGTTCTAGAATCTGTCGGAGGGTGAAGATATGATCAATACACCCTCTTCCTGGTCTAAAGCCTGCCTGGCTCTCTCGTGTTTGTGCTTCCCGAGCACCACTCAGTCTACGCATGATTATTGAGCCTAAGACTTTAGATACTATATTAGTCAAGCTAATCCCTCTGTGATTATCACAGGAAGACTTGTCTCCCTTCTTGTATATGGGGATAATCAGTGACTTACACCAACCCGATGGGACTTCTTCTGATTCCCAGACGCTGCCTAGTACCTCAGTTAATCCGGACAGTAAGCTGTCTCCACCGTACTTAAATACCTCTGGAGTCATTCCATCAGGTCCCGCTGCTTTGCCTAGTTTCAGATTGGTGACAGCTTTAGTAACCTCAGTTAGTGACGGAGGACCTGTGTCTATATCCCATTCAGGGAGGTGTTGGATGCTCGGAAGGTTGAGCGTGGCTGTGGGCAAATTAAACTGCTCCTCATAATGCTCTTTCCAACGATCCAGTCGTCTATCCTGGAGCTAATTATAGTGCCATTTTTTTCCGAGATTGTCTCACTGATGATTTGTCTTCTCCCACCCGTTTCCCTGATGAGTCCAAAGAGTTGCCTGGTGTTGCCTATCCTCGAAGCTTTCTCCATCTCTTTGGCTTTTGTCGCCCACCACTGTTCACGGTCCTTGCGGAGACTTTTCGTAAGTTTCCTCTTGTGCAGCTTTCGCTCCTCATTGAATTCGGAGCTCGCCGGAATAAGTCTTCTAGCATCTATCAGTTCGGATGAGGCGGTGGAGATCCAGTGGTTTTTACTCACCTTTGGGTTTACCTTATTCACAGCTTTTACAGCTGTATCTATGGCTGCCTGGATATTTTTCCAAGCTTCTTCAGGGTGAGCACAGCTGTCGAACACAGATATGTGTTTAGCTAGTTCTTCCTCAAATACGGATTTAGTTTCCTGATCGAGCTGGGGACGTGATGGTTTTACCGCCAGCTGTTTCCTACGTCCGTTCAGTCGTAAGCACACCCGAGCGCGGACCAGTGCATGGTCGGTATCTACGCACGTGTTCCAGAAGGAGCGACAATCTCCTACCGACCCACGCCAACGATAGCTTATTGCTATGTGGTCTATTTGTGTCCAGCGTTGGTTTGATGAAGGGGGTCTCCAAGTCAAACAGTGTCTCTCCTTGTGTTTAAAGTTAGTGCTTACAAGAAACAAATGATTATCAGAGCAGAACTGTAGGAGACGGTCACCGTTGTCGGTTCGCTGGCACGGAACTCCATAGGTGCCACCGACATCCTTCTCAGATTGACACAATTTCCCTACTTGAGCGTTAAAGTCACCAGCTAGAACGACTATGTCTGAGCGTTTAGCCTTTCCACCAAACTAGACAGCTTTTGGTAGAACTCATCCTTCGTTTCATCTGAACTGCAGTCAGTGGGGGCGTAGGCGGAGATTACGAAAAGGCATCGGCGAGTAGTGCAGTCCTTCCTCCTTCTTACTGATCCGTTCAGGCGGACAGCACACATTCGGCTATCTACCGGGATCCAGTCAAGCAATGTCTTTTCTGCCCTAGTACTCAAAGCTATCCCTACGCCAGCTAATCCTCGTGAACTAGCTGTGGCATCTCCTGACACCCTCAAGGTGAATTTTGCAGATTCAACCTGTTGGCCAGGTGGGGTTAGGTGAATAACCACACTTGGGTCTTGTATGCGTGTTTCTGAAACACAGCATACATCAATGGCTCGTGATGCCAGGGTCTTGGCTAGTGATGCTTGTTGTCCTATTTGGCAAAGTGTCCTAACATTAAGAGCTCCTATATGAAATTGGTGGCGCGGCTTTAAGAGGCTGTCGGTGGTGGTTTTTTGGCTTCCATCGTTTTTAGTGGACGCAGAGTGGAGAGGAAGTGGAGAGCTATCAAGTCGAGGAGTTGCATCAGTGGAAGGAAGGCAACTGTTTGGACAATTTTAGTAAAGCACATTTCTTTAGAGCATTTATTGGTGAACTTTTTAGGATATCCATTCCTAAATTGAATATCCTTTAAGTCCTTTCACTCACTCACTGATAACTAAATTGTTTACTTAAGTGATGTAATTGAACCGTAGTGTATTTCATCTTAATTTTATATCCGTGTATGTTTCAGAGTATCCAGGTGAAGAGTTCTACCGAAATTTGATGAATTCATTTAATCTTGCTTTACCAGCTTTTGTTGCTTGTTTTAAATTTGTGTCAGGAAATAAGCATTTCCGAAAAAAATATTAGACATAGATGTTATTGTACTACATTCATTGAATTTGATTTCTCTGTGACTGAAGAATTAAACATCCACAACTTTAAAACAAACAATTAGGGTTAATAAAGCAGGATGATTTAATGATGGATTCATCAAATTTCGGTAGAACTCCTCTTCAGCTGAATACTCTACGTACACGGATATATATACACTAGTGAAATTACATTGGGAGATATAAGACTGATAAGCAAATAAACTACATTGAATTCGTCATGCACAAAGACAGGTGGGAATGTTTTCCAGGTCATGTTCGAATAGATAAGTGGAGAGGAAGTATGCGAGAGATTAAAATTAAGATAAAATGTATTACAGTTCAGTTACATCACTTAGATAAACAATTAGACATTAGAGAATATAACAAGAATTGCAAACAGAGTAATATCAATAGTAATAGTTATAAGAACAATAGTAATAATAATAATAGTGTTCAAGTGAGTTAAGATAATCCCACTGATAAAGGATAGTTGTAAATGAATCAAGAATAATAATAGTAAATAAAACGTATTACCATGGTAGATTCAGAGTGACGACCTTCTCCATTTGTACACAGAGACCTGGTTTATAAACTTGGATTGCACAAGCCTCTGCAATTGCAAGCATCTTCTTGTTTCTTTGTCTACTCACTGACAATAGTGAATGACTTGACCGTGTCGATATCATGTCCGTAATCCACAAGATGTTTTGTTATTGCGGTTTTTGGCACTTTGTATTCAGCTGTTTTCAACCATTTTGGCAAATGCTCCATCATGCAATGAGTAGACAGTCGCCTTTCTTTTGAGATCTAAGTATTTGCTTCCACAAAAACACTAATCAAATTGATATACACAGTTTGAAGTGTCTAGGAATGCCGACCTTTATTGCTTGTTTTAAATTCGTATCGGGAAATAAATGTTTTAAATTCACAATTGTTTAACACTTTAATCAGGTTGTGCAAAAATAATTAACTTATTCCTTTAAAAAATTTTTATTTCTTTTTTTTAGATTCTTCCCTTTTTACAACGTTCTTTTCTTCGTCTACTGCTTCTTCTGAAGAGTCGCTTTCATTATCTGTGCGAAAAAATCGATCACAAAAATTGATAAAGCAGTTATCTCAAGAATATAATGATCAACCAAAACGTATTTGGGCTCAGATTCGTTCAGCTTTAGAGTCACCTCAACTGTATGAGTAAGTATTAGTCATCTTATTAATAATAATAATAATTATTATTATTATTATATCCTTCACTTTGCGAGTGGAACATATGGCTTCAAGCTAGAGTGATTATTTTTACGGCATGTGGTTGCCAACCTCACACCCCAACCTTCCCTCTTTGCTGACCTTACTACCATCAGCTGTGTGAGGTGTAGGAGTGCGGAGGTGGCCGTGGATCGGATGATGGACCACGTTCCTGGTTGGCGACGCAAATATCATAATTAAAGTGTGATTTTATTGTATCACACACTAGTTAACTACATTTTATATCTAAAGCCTTACAGCATACCATCAAGTAGGTGCCCTTTTACTCGTTAATTTGTGCATTATACGTGTGTGTAACCACTGAGTCAAAGCTTCGGGCCACACTTCACTCAACTGAGGTTTGTGTGTGTAGCTTCGCACACCATAAGTGTGACTCATTGCGGATTGCATTGAAATACAAATTGTTGTTGAGTGATGTTTTCATTTTCTTCCTATGGAAATTGGGATGGGACCTCGTGAATCATTGTCTAACCCACTGTATTATCGTATTTCACATTTGATATCGAAACACAAAGCAGGAGGCATGAAACGAATGCCTCAGAAATAGTTTTAGTCCAAATCTTAAAACGTTACAAGAAAACTAGTGATAAGACAGATAAATAGATAGAATGTCGTAATAGTTTTAGTTAAAGGTGAGATATGGCTGTTTAAGTTTCGGTAATGCTGCATTCACACAACGTATCACATTGACAGTTCCCAGTCATTGATACTTTGTATTAGAGGATAGGGCGTAGACGTGATATCCGGCTATCGACCAAAGGGCGGGTGTACTGCTCAGCAGTCCTCTCCGTCCTCCTCTATGCTTGTGAGACCTGGCCATTGAGAGTGGAAGACATGAAAAGGCTGACTAGCTGTCTTTGATCATAGGTGCCTGCGCCCTATCTCCCGTGTCAAGTGGTGTGATAAGGTGAGCAATATTGAGGTTAGGCCTCAGTCGTTCTAGGTAAGGAGGGGAAATCAATCGATGAGGCTGTGAAGCTACATCGACTGAGTGAGATGGTTAGGACATGTGTTGTGAATACATGTCTAGCCATTGCCTTCCTCGACGGGTAATATTAGCTAACTGACATATGGTCAGGCTGGAAAAGAGCTGGCGCCGGTCAAACGAGAACAGTCAATGAAATCCACAACAGTTAGTTTAAACCAGTCATGTAGGAAGGTGTTGACTACCTGGTTAGGAGGTGTAGACTTCCTGACTGGCTGGTTGCAGTCCTCGGGATGGTAAAAACCAATGACAGCTGGAGACAATTGGTGATATGACTCAAACTCCTCGCTATCAATGGCTGGAGCAGATGCATCCAATCCTTGTGACTTATAACATCCGATAAAACTATATTGTTCTTATAAAGTATAATTATATTTCAATAGTTTACACACAATTATAAGTTTTGTTATTAGTAATTTCGCTCGAAATATTACCAATAACAAAACTTATCATTGTGTGTAAACTATTGAAATATAATTGTACTTTATTTGATCTAGTCCATAATGCTTAAACTTTTTACCGATATATTGTTCTTCGTTATTACTATCCCATTTGTCTCATATCCCTATCTACTGACACTATTATGCATTTCTTCTACTTTCTTCTCTTGGTTTGTGTGCTCAATATGAAGAGAGTGTGGTGACTTGAAGAGCTGCACATCAGTGCAAAGTTCTATTTCGAAAACAGACAGACAGATAGATTAGAGGATAGTCAGACAGACAACCTGCACTTCCGAACATGCCTCAGACAAAGTGACAGAAGTCATGCTTTCGTCCTATTTTAAATCTACTCTTAAGACTCCTTTCTAGTTTAATTTCGTTTTCTGATATAAGCATAAAACCTGGACACTATAGTAGAGCATAACTCGATTATGGATAGGATTTTATTTTTGATAAAATCACACAGTGTTTGTTGTACAGTAATATTTACTGATGACCAGGTTTCGAGCACAATTCATTACTGCTCATAATCATCAGATCAAGGTACTCACTCACACAACTTTCTTGCTTTATGTATATACATGAGTAAAAATTGATCATTAGACATTTGAATCAAATCAATATAACATAAAGTACATTCAGAAACAATAATATTAGTGTTATCGATAAAATACAGCAAAAAAAATAAGTAACTTGTCAGAATGTTATAATGTGAATTGAATACACTTTAACACTTTATTATCCTCTGATTTGACTGACTGGTGGTAATAATATCTTCCATATCTCTGGTATTTGCATTGAGTCATTTCTGTTGTATGTGTTGTGTTCGGGGTAGACTTGATGAACCAGACAGGATTCAGTAATCAACCTCTCTCTCTCTCTCACTCCACCTACTTATATCACCATGTAGAATTTTAACTCTGTCCCACTCTATTGTGTGGTTATGTGTTAATGCATGCAGTGCATATCAATCTGATAGACACTAGGAACTAGCCCTATTCCGGCAGGGTTCCAATAGGAAGTCTTAACCAGTGGGATATGAGGACAAATACTCGCCTTGCGATGCCATTGGCCAGTTGTTTACGCTATACCGTGAATCGGCAGAAGTTGAAATTCATGGGCTGGCTACTGGATTGGGTCCCAGTGGCTTAATAGTCGACAAGCTCACTTTGTAACCAGAAGGTCCTGGGTTCGAACCCCAACGGGTGCGTACTGATGAAGAGTCCCAAACTATGACGAAATGGCTGTCTATTATTCACGTGTTTTCCAGTGGCTCCTTAACCAATGTCAGTGCATAATGAAATCCTGATGAAATCGCTGCAAACCAACACTTGAAAATCAAGTATAACAAGAATAGTGATAGTGAATAGTGATTGCTCATCACTGGCTATTAATAATAATCCGGAAATATAGGATATTCGACTCTTAACCAGAGACTTAACAACAGTAATTCCATATTAGTTTGTTTATTAGTAGTATCACACAGTGAAACAGTATTATTATTAACTGGATGACAATGTTTCGAACAAAATTTATTATTGTTCATAATCATATCAACTATAATCACACGACTTTGAAACTTGACTTTTATAGTTTTCTTTGTTCACTCCTATTTTTCGTCGTAGGGGTAGTAGAATTTTCCAGATATCTGGGTGGACAGGTGTTGAATCATTCCGATTACATGTGTTTGCAATTGATTCGATAAACAAAACTTCCATTGTTACCAATCTCTCCCTATACTCTGTGACATTAGATTTTAAAACTGTCATCTTTTCCCATCCATCCTATTGTATGGTTATGTGTAATTACTTACTTTACTTTACTTCGGCTATCTCCTACGGGAGGATGAGCCGGCTTCATGAACATCTCGAATCATCTCTGCCCAGGCGCGGCGATCTGATGCAAAGTTTTGCGACAGGCTTATCCAATTCTTGTTCCACAGATGGAGTCCGTAGACGGTTTGTAGCCCCAGGCACTCCATATCAGCCTTGATTGTACCAATCCATGTTTTCAGCTGTCCACCCCTGCGACATCGCCAAGATGGAAATGGCGAGGGATTTCGAACTGATTTGACCAGATCGTCATCTGGTCGGCGCAGAACATGGCTAAACCACCGAAGGTGACGTTGTTGAACCAGTACTGGAATTTGGTTGATGTTGTAGAGTTAATGAAGTTTCATGGGAATTAGGTATGAGTGATGTCCCCAGCATCGCTTGGCCTTATGTTTGAGAGTGCAGCTCTAGCCTTTACACAACTAAGTGTGACCTACAAGGCAGTAGGAGTGGAGTTGGGAGTCCACTATCCATTGGAAGCCAGCCGGTGACCGGAGTCCAGTTCATACGCCTTTTTGAATGGGGCCAGACATCCAGGGCACCCAATAAGCCCTTTGTCCATATGTCTGCCGGTGAGCTCTGGTGAGCTTCATAAGTCAGTCGTTGGAGGTTTAGAATCAGGGTTTAGCCATCTCCCCTAGATTGTCATCCAATGGCCAGTCAACCCGGTGAAGAGCGCCGGGCATCCGCTTTTGCCCTCTCACTTCGGTGAAAAACACCTCCGCCACGTGAAGGCAGTGAGTAGGACTTCCTCAGGAGAGGCTATGTAAGACGCCCGGTCATATGGGAGCATTTCAAGAGGTGTACGGTGGGGTGGCCAACCCGCAGCGCAAGGCACCCACCCCCGACCATCCTGAGGCTTTGGAGGCTTGTGTGTAATTGGATGTAGTGCTATCTATGACTGAACTAATCTGCAGATTTCTTATCTTATTCGGGTCTACCAATCTAAATTTTGCTGCCAGTTGTTTATGCTCGGCTAGTCTGACAAACATGTTTTGTCGGTTAAAGGATCAATCCTGACACTGGAGCCTTTAAAACAAAACAATTTAGTTGATCTAATACCCTGCCTTCAATGATGTCAGTGAGGTCAAATACATAGGTCAGAGCAGTAGAACAGAGACAGTCAGTCAGACTAGCTGAGCATAAAAACCTAGCAGCAAAATCTAGATTGGTTGACCCGAATAAGATAAGAAATCTAGAGAATAGTTCAGTTGTAGACAGACAGCACTCACTACATGCACTTACACACAACCATACGATAGGATGCATTGGATAGAATGACAGTTTCAAAATCTTAATATAACAACAGGGTGGAGGGGGAGATTGATAACAACGGAAGCTTTGTTTATCGAATCAACTGCAAACAAGTGTAATAGGAATGATTCAACACCTGTCCCTACGACAAATAGAAGACAAAGAAAACTATAAAAGTCAAGTTTCGAAGTCGTGTGATTATAATTGATGAAATGATTATGAACAATAATAAATTGTGTTCGAAACTTTGTCATCCAGTAAATAATAATACTGTTTCACTGTGTTATACATCTAATAAACAAACTAATATGGAATTACTTACTACCACCACAGTGCCCAAGTTTTACACATACATTAACTTAACAACAGTGTTGTCCTAGAATCGATGGGGAACCACTAGTCCATCCTTTAAAGTTTTCATTATCTCCATAGTTGATACCCACACTTAATTTTTTCATAATATCGCCATTGAAATTAATGAAATTTCCTTCAAATTCTATTACTGAATAATCGATGTTTGCATTTTAAAAGAAATTGTTAATTAATCATGTGAAATTTTACAATCTCCACTTACCTCTTGGCTTTTTGTTGTTGTTGTTGTTAATGTTGAATGTTGTTTGGTAATTTAACTTTCATTTTTTAGATCTACTTCTGTGAACGGTAGAATTCCTCCGATAGTTCTACTTTTAGTGAATCGTTGTGTACAGTCTGTTAATGGTGGAGTTCCCTGTACTACATCTAATTCTGATCATGATGGGGATAACAATAAAAGCAATACTTTATTTCAATGTTTCATTTCACGTCTTAGCCAGTTAATCAATAGTGAATACTTGTTGTTGAAAAGTTCAAAGTCATGTTCAACTCTAGGAGCTTATCCGTTAACCTCTTTAAATGATAAACACAAGGTTAGTAGTGATGTTAAATATATTCTATGTTGATTATTTTCTTTTTTCTGTTTACTTAGCATAAACTAGTGTAATAATTATAATAATGATGCATTCTCGTTTTTTGTACATGAGGGACGCCAGTTTACAGGCGTTTACTGTATCGTGGTTTGAATTCCTCTAGGAATTACAGCCAACAATTCCATCTAAAGTGATTCCTACTACTATTGTAAGGTATGTCTTTATTTCTTCATTGGGTTGAAATGCAATATAGTCAGTGAATCTGTTCTTTTGAAAATTCCACGTATATAGCGCATATAGTTCGGTGGTTTTAATAAGTAACTGTTCTTATAGCTTATTTGATTTATCGTCCCAACGACAGTTTTTTCTCTTCAAAATCTAATGGATTTCATTGAACGTGGACAAGTATAGATGTGGTGAAAGCTGGTTGCTAGTCAAAAATTGGTCGACAGTAATTTACGTCAATGTTTACGTCCCCAATATTGGTCATGAGAAAAATAAGAACAAAGACTGATTCAACAACCAATCACAGCAGACTTTGCGTAGGCGGATACAATTTGCAGATAGATGATCTTGAACTTCAAGAAACGGCCACAAAGAGATGAAGGATTAACGTTCGATGAAAAACCATCAATCACAAGACTGTGTTTTTCTACCAACAATAATCTATAATAATGCACATAAAAATCTATAAATATCTGTTGATTTCTTAAATGAGCGATCTGGTTCCTGGCCCTTGTCTTCTGTTGTTACATGGATTACAATCAATCAGCAGTGACATCAGATAGTGTTTGATCTGTATTACAAATAGGATAAAGTTGAAAATTTGATGAGTACCACTTCTGTCGTCACTTAGGAGTGGTTGATATACTCTCTGCCGAGTATCCGAGGATTCTCTTTTTAACCGTCTGATACATGGCAGAACAACTCAGCAGTGTTTTAGTTTGTCAATGATTCTTTAATTATTAATGTTATTTCGTCATGAATATTTAATCACTGTCTTTACAAACCTAACAATTATATAACACAAATAAGTAATTGTTTTCTTTATTCATTCATTCATTCATAGATTGACCAAATAAAGTTGGATTTAGATAATCAATTAATTGATTTGTACAAATCTGGTGCACGTTGTTTTCACTTCACTTCAATTGATCGATTACCAGCTAAGATAATTCCATTATTCCATGGTTATACAGACGTTGAGAATTCGATATATTCCAATGCTATTCTATTGATAAGTTTATCAAAAACATTTGTAATTAGGTAGGCTACTGTTGTTTATGTATCGTGGATAAACACTATTTTCTTAGATCAGGTTCACTGTTATTTTCTTCTACTTTTTTATTTTATTGAAGTGAACTAAATCTCTCCTCGCAACTCTTTATGCGTTGGTGGTGGTGCACAGCGGTAGAATCGAATACTTGCTAACCACGCACATGTGGTCTGAGGTTCGAACATCGGCCGACACACTCCCACTCCTCACTTACTCGATAGTAAGTAAACCTAGTGAAGAGTAAAGGTTGGGTATGAGACTAGCAACTCCATCTCGTGAACTTCAAAACTCAAGCTTGAAGTCCCCTATGTTACTTGTCGGAAGACAAAAGGACCAAAAACGCATCTTTACTCTACTGACTGTGACTTGCCTTCATTGGGTTCTTATGTTACCCCAACTACGGGAGGGTTACGAATTACATGGTTGAGGGCAATCGGCCACAGGAAGCCTTACATGACCTAGATTTCGTGCTAGTTGGCACTCACTAGTAAGGCGTATCTGCAACCTTGAAGTAACTCATGTCCCTTCTGAGATTCGAACCCGCATCACCCAGTGAGTGCTGCAGTCAGAGACGTTGGTAATTATTTATTCTTTACCCAACTAGAATCTTAGAATCAGAGATCCCCACAAATTAGTCCTATGATATAAATATCAGTCGGCAGATCACCACTAATGACTACTGAATGAATTTCCTGAAGCTTCAGTCGGAAGTCGTCACCAGTGGGGTGGTGGGTCCACCATGTCATTAGTGAGGACATTGCTATGTCACGAGTTAACAGAGTTAGAATTCAGCAGTTATTGAATTTCAGCTCAAGTAGCTGAATTGTTAACGAGCTTGGCTTTTTCGCAACCTGTCTGATTCTTCGGGTACCTGAAACAGTGAAAGGGTTAGTGTTGCGTGACCGCAGAGCCCAGGGGACAACTGCTTGAGGGCAGTCACACACGGCCTGTATGAACTAGTGTCTTGGTTTAGTTCCGTATTAGTAAGCTTACCGCCGGTTACAGACTACCGTGGGTGGTTTAAGTGGGGATGTACAATTTTTGGGTCGACCTTTTCTAACCCCCTCTCTCCGGAGTGGACAGGCAGCATAATTGGCTGGCTTGCATGCTGGTCATCTGAGGGAAACACCTCGCTGTGGCTGTTACATCCCTGTTCCCCAGCAGTGCGACTTCGCCCTCAGACCCCCAGGATAGTGTAAGAAAGAGTCCTACACAATGGTGGTAACTGCTTTTAGTCTAATCGCTATCCTAACAACCTTCCTGGCATGGTAGGACCCACAGGAACATTGGTTCCAGGCAGTGTAGCTTGTTGGGTCATCGCGATATGCAAGTCCAACCACCACGTCAAGGTAGCAGCCATCGGTCAAGACCTAAAGGTTCTTGGTTCAATCTCTGGTTGGGTCGTGGGTACACATTGATGAAGAGACCCAGAAGGGGATGAAACAGCTGTCCAGTGCTTCCTGGTTCTCAATGATCTTTCTAACTCATGTTGACATGTGACGAAAATCTAACAGTTGTATTCGATCTAAAAATTCCCATTAAATCCTACAATTTGAGCATTTATGGAATTAGCTCTTATCACGTTCACAAACTAAGTTTGTGTATACTACTTCCTTGAATGTTGGATGACAGTGTGTAAACACGCCTTCTTTATGCCATCAAAATAGTATTATTAATTCATAAATGAATTGATATTACTTTATTGATTGCATCACGATTTTTATTCCTTTTTATTACTATTCATAAATGAACTAAAGGAAATTTCATAGTTTGATTACTTATTTATTTTTATTTTTGATTACAGCTTGGTTCCACACTGTATTTTTGGTACAATTATGGAATTTTCAGCATGGATATCGGTAGCCCGAATTTCGCAGGCCGACCATAGATATCAGGTGTGCGTTGGTCAGGGGATGGAACCTCAGACCATGTGCATGGTCGGCGAGAGTGTGTGTGGGGGGTGTTCAGTAGTTTTATGAATATAGAAGATTAACAATAGTTACTTCGGTTCAGACCACGAAGTGATATCCGCTGGAGAACCATTGAAAACTTGCCACAGGAAGTACTCGACAGCAGTTTTTTATCCTAGTTTGATTTTCACTGTCAGTATGCACCCACCACCAGAGTTCGAACCCAGAACCGACTGGTTACAAGTCCAGCGAGCTCATAGATCATTCAGCCACCGAGACTTGATCCAATGACCAGTAGATGAATTCTAACTTCTTCCAATTCGTGATTTTAGCTGAATGGTACACGAGCTTGTCCTGGGTTCGAACCTGAGTGGGGGAGTACTGCCGGTGAATCCCAAGCTAGAATTAGAGACAGCTGTCCAGTACTCCCTGTCCCTGCTGGTTTTCAATGGCTCTCTAACTGATATCAATCCGTGATCAACTCGTAAAAACAAAATTAATCCTTAGAAACCAAGCTCTTGAAAGTTAATCTGATGCTTGCTAGTGACTTGCTACAGGATAGAGTTTCCTGGAGTAACTTCTAGTGAGAAGTCGTGACCAGTGAGGTTCATCCATATGTCACGTGTGAGGATGGATGTTCCACTAACGACATTGGCTGGTGCCAGTCGCGCTAAATCACGAATTGGTAGAAGTTAGAATCTATCGGCTGTCTGCTGAGTGGTATAGCAGGTTTCCTGGTGACTGGAAGGTCCTGGGTTCGAACTCTAGTGATGGTTACATACAGTGATAATCAAACTAGGACAAAACAGCTGTCCAGTACTCCCTGTCCCTAGTGACTTTCAATGCTTCTCAAACTGTGATATCAATCCGTGGTCTACCATGAAACAAATACAAAACCCTACAAACTAAATCCTCGAAAATAATAGTTACCCCTTGAGTCTTATTTCAAATAAGCAGTACACGTCAACGAACTGCTCTCTTTGTAATCTGTTAGTTATGATGAAATGCTCTGATATTTTACTTGACGTCTTTATCATAATTTCTTCCCTTCCTGTTTTTTCTTTTCTGTTTTTCTTCTGTACTACCTTCAAGTTCACCACAGAATTGTACAAAACGATCTGAACATATACTGCCTGGTTGTCAAACACCTGGTCAATTCGAGCATCATGTCAATAAATATTTACGGTCTCTGTGGAATAAACATTTGGGCAGTGAAGAAGTTGATGCGTTGATCTCTCGTCTAACTTTAAATACGATAGTTTTTCATACATTTACTGATCATTTAGACATAAATTCAATCTGTTCTAGTTAACAGTGAAAATATGCATATCGTTGTTGTTGTTGTTGCTGCTTTTGTTGTAATTCTCATCATTTTTCTGTACTTTTGTATCTGACGTTTTCCTAGACCACGAAAGATGTTATTTTTTTAATCTTTTTTTTCGTGATCGTATTTTACTCCTTTCCTTTACTGAGAACTGTCATGCTACTCTTAGACTATATCAGTAGTATGTATTGTACAGCGAATAAGAAAAAATAAGTCAAATACATATCGTCGTGTTACACACTTTACATATATCTCTGTAATTCGATCAGACGGTTAAGATATAGGACGCATTAAAAATTGGGAAAATTGGTAGTGTTGCTCACATAGGTGTCTGAAAATAAATCCAATGTTTTAAGCCAACCTCAAATCTTACCCAGCATCCAATTTCGTTTATACGAGCTAGTATAAACCGATTTGATTTCTTGGTTGTGGGTTAGGATTCCTGGCCTTTGGTAAACCTCAGAGTAGTGTATCACACCACTTGACTGGTTAACTCCGAAAAGAATGGTGCTGAGATTGATTACATGTAGTATGCGGTGTGTTAAGACTGTTGCTGCTGTGAGTGGAGTTTGTTTTTTCACCCGTTAGTCGTCCGGTGTCGTCACAAAAACAATTATAGTTTCCGTAGATTATTTGGACTTAAAGTGGAGGAAAACGTAAACGCAGATAGCTGATGATTTTTATGTATTCATATCCATAATAATACTAGTGTAGTGAAAGTAATCGTTGGAGCAATCAGGACAGTTAGACAAGGGGGAATATGAAGAGCTAAGAAGACAAGTTTAAGTGTGTACCCATTAAAAGTGTGTTTTAAGGGGATAGGCCGTTTGGATGCAGTCCCTGTATCGTTGCATGCCCCATCCGTCGGTAAGGAATTCCGAGGGCGGCATACTTGAAGTGAAAAGAAGCAGGGGCGCAGTCGGGCTTTCTCTGTCTGATGAGCTATCCTTCGTGGATTCCCACGACAAAGCCCATACCCACTTGATGTCAGAACGCCTTTGTCTGGATGACCTTGGTCATCTGTAATCTTATAGGCAGTGATTAAGTTCCCTCTAAGCCGATGGCATCCTGTTAATTTATTATTGGATAACAATCATTTAAACGATAAAGGGCATGGAATCATTAGTTATTTAACTAAGAAAATATGGATGACAAGATATCAAAGTTATGTTTTAGGGAGTCAGTGACACTTATTGACGAGGGCAGTTTATTGATCAGAATGAGAAACGAATGTCACCTGCCAGTTGAAATTGGCTTGAATGACCGTCGCTCTGTTTTTCAGTCATAAATTTCATCTCACTTTCAGATTTGATTTTAATATGTATTTACAGATGACATTTTGCACCACAATCCTCCGGTATTATATCAACATGGTTTCCACAAAAATGAAATATTTTCGTTAAAATTTGTCCTTGAAAGCACTGATTGAACCTCGATAAGAAAATACTAATTGTCCCCTACTTGTGAATTTTAGCCTTCTGTGTTAACGTTAGAATAATTGAACGAGTTCCTATGACGCTCGTCATATAAACAGTTTGCATGACTAGTATCTTTTCGTATATCACAAGTCACGACTCTAAATCTATCTTGCATCGCTGCCTAACCATACACTAAACTATAGGCGTCAACGTTGTGTGAAGCTTCTCCCAGTTTAATTGTTCAATAGTTTTCTAGCATTTCCCAAGCCCCGGAAAAGAGGAACGGCTGGGTGTGGGACTAGCGCTCCTGTGACGACAAGGGCCATACAACAGATCTTTATTGAGAAAATCAACGGATATTTATAGATTTTTATGTGCATTATTATTCGTAATTATAAGTAGAGAAGTGACGTCTTCTGATTGGTTGTTTTCTTGGTGAAAGTTATCCCATCATCTCTTCGTTGCGGTTTCACAGACCGTCTGTTGATATATATCTGCTAATCATATCCGCCCATGCTTTGTCTGCTGTGATTGGTTGTTGGGTTCCTCAAGGTTAGTCTTTGTTCTTGTTTTTTCTCATGACCAAGAATTGGGTCGTAGACATTGACGTTAATTACTGTTTAACAATTTCGGCTAGCATACAGCTCTCATCACACCCTTCCCCTGGAAAATCAGTCTGATCACTACAGGAACTTCAAAGCTCAAGATTAATATAGAAAAGAAACTTATTCTTCGATAGAACCGGAGAGACGAAATTGCTCGGCTGGTGAAAGCCTCCGGAAAGCTGGTTAGCTGATTTGTCTTTCTTTGCAAACAAAACTTAACCACTTGGACATGGAATCTTCGCACAATGTACGAAGTTAGGATGGCTATCATGGAAGTAAGAAAATAAGCCGTGAAACTGCCAGGAATCTGTGAGTGCGGATGGAGTTGATGTGGCAACTTGGTGCGACACGAAAAGCATTGCCAACGAGCTACGGCAGACTTTTGTTAACTGCTGCCTCCATATTGAAGATCAAATTGCCAGAAAGAATAAGCAACAAGGGACTCTGCAATGGGGTGAACCAACCAAGAACCTACTGCTCAACAAATGTGTACGAGAAAATGCAGATTGTTCTGTGAGTTCAAAATGTTGCAGGTGAAAGAATACTGTGTCACTGCTTTTATCAAATAAAATCACCTAATATTTACACCAATGTCTGGTTAATTAATAATAATAATTTATATTTCGTATTAACGGGTAAGTTTACAAGAAATACATGCCATTTTTACAGGCACGATCAGTACTGTTATAAATTACAATCCTGAAGTATCATAAATTAATGCTTTCTTAAGACCTTAAATTGTTCAATTATTGTTCAAGGAATCAGAACAGATTCTTATAAATGTTAAATTGTAAACCGTTTACTAATGTCACTATCAAAATTGAGCGACAACCCAAACTTCGTTCCGTTTCCTGCTGATAGTTTCGGTCAACCAGTGAACAGCGAATTTCTGGGTGCGTGCTATGCCCCCATGTGATTGGGCAAGCAACAAATATGAAGAAAAGAGTAAGTTTTAGCTTTAATAACGGCCTAGGTAGTTAACATAAAGTAGAGTATAATAGTGCGTAAATAAAAAGATTATTATGAGGTAGGTAAGTGATATTTAAGTGAGGAGTGAATTCGAAGATCTGGAAAATTAGAATCCGTGGGACAAGCTGACCTGTAAGATGTCTCACGAATTTCTGTAGGGCCCAATGGGTAGCATCTTTACAAGAAGCTGAACAGGCTTTTAGATAGTAGGGGCGAAAGCACTTTTTTATTTATAATAAGGATCTGTATAACCCTTATTATCATTTTTTAAATTTTTTTGTTGTTGAGGGTCCAGACTAATGTTTAATTCTCGAGCTGTCAAAAAATGCATGTTGCTGTCCTACAGATCGGGGCGATTCACATTTGTGACCACTACCATATCTGCTGATCAGCATGCGCCACCCTTCCTCCTTTTTGATGTTAAGCTCTGAGATTTTTTGGAACAACTGTAGTTGCAGCATTTTATTGCTAACACTAAACAAAATAGAAATGTGAGCTTTCTATCGACCTCATTCCAATGCAGGGGCATGAGAAGCATAGAATGTCAATCTTGTAACTTTGCTTCATCATTCGTGAATGAAAAATATTTGTGAAATGGCTTACTGTATCTATTCTTATATCTTGTTATGAAGCTTTTGTAATTATTCAACTACTAATCATGTTACTTAAATTCTGTTCTATAGTGGTTGTTTGTGGGCTGTAGAATAAAATACGGTGAAAAGTATCACATATATTTCTTACGCGCTGTTAGCGACCCATGAGCGTGAGAATCTAGTATTAGAACGAGGTCTATATTAAGGCTTCAGTCACCTGAATGCCAGGTGATTAGTTTACACAGGACTGCATGATTCCACGTTACATTTTTTATTGATGTCACAACAGTACTTATAGTACGTTAGTAAAATTTCTTACCCAGTAAGATGTGTGTCGGTGGTAGCAAAGACATGCAATTCTCACCTGAAGGTTGTTACAGTTTGCGTAATCAAACATGAACGGTAACGACAAAGGCATTAAAAACATCATTCTGTCCTAATTTCTTCACAATCATGTATTCAAAGATAAGGTTATGTGGCTTGGCACTCTTAATACAAACTGCTGTTGTTTTCATATCTTCATAGATCACAAACCGATTGCTATGCCTTTACTTTTTCGTCAGATAAGTATTCGCCAAGAGAAACTAGACAGCTAGACCATGCTTCCTAGTTCTGATGGCGACATAAATTCATGAAGTAGACTGTCGTCTGCCTTCTGAATGGTATGTCAGCAGAAAGCATAGCCTTAATTTTCCTAGATCGTTGGGTACCAAGTTGCACAACATATATATGTATATGTCACTGTCGATTCATAGTTGTTTCAATATCCACGAGTAAATTTCAGAAAATGAGGTTTATTAAAATTTCGGTCATTTATGTGGCTGTTGAGCCCATCAAATTACTAGCCAGCTGTAAATCCATAAAAAATGGAAGGTCGGGCATGGGCCTAGCAACTCTATCCTGTACTGTTATTGAAACCCCTAACTTCCAATCCCTACATTTCACTGCACTAGCATCAGGGGCTACATTCTATTGATCAATCAATGCCTCGAAAATAGTCTTGCAGGAGGTCAATCACGAAAACTGAAGACATAATGGCACCGTTTCTGAATGCAGCGCTGGGTAAGGTAAGGTCGAACCCGAGATAAAAATCCATAAAGGTTGCAAATAAGCTAAGTCGACGAGAGCCAGTAAATGCGAAATCTAGACTCGGGGTTTTCTACCGATGGCTTTAATAGACTGAACCTAAGAGAAAGTTTTCCAAGGCTGTTTATACTATGCTGACTAATGTAGTTTTGTAGTGGCAGGATACAAAATTATTGGACAAAGGAATTCTTACTGTTGGCTCGATGTACATATTTGGGCGAAGTTCATAAGCCTTATTTAAAACCACAATTCTCACATGTCTTCCATGTTGTGCTAGTTTTGTCTCGAGTATCGCGCTCCTTTTTATTCCTTTCATG